GGCCGCCCCCCTGAACGTGGGTCCCGTGATGGACGGCCTCCCGGCCGTCCTCCTGAACGTGGGTCCCGTGATGGACGGCCGGGAGGCCGTCCTCCTGAACAATGACTCCAGGGACGGTCTCTTGACCGTTCAGATCTTTTGTGTTTTTCCTGCTTGTGTCTTGCCTTAGTTCTTTCAGGTCCTTGTGTTCTTCCTTGTGTTTCCTCTGGCCCTCCACCCTTGCAGTGCCGCCCTCCACCCGCCCAAGTCCTTCGGGAGGGGGATTTTTTGCGGGACGCCTGGAGGCGTCCTTGAGGGGGGGGGGTACTGTAAGGATGGTACCTTTTGCTGGTTCTGTTTGTGTCTGTATTTCCCTAGTGTTTCCTCGTCAGTTTAATTGGTGCCACCTTTGTCTCGTCACAGCTGTTGTAATCACGTCTTGTCTTGTCCTTGTATATAAGCCTCCTGTTCTGTGTTGTTCCTTGTCGGGTCGTATTCGTTGGGTCTCTGCGTTCTCCTGCGTCTCCCCTGAGCTCTCCTGAGTCCTCCCTGAGTTTCCCTCTGAGCCTTCTGTTTATATGTAAGTTTTGCTGCCACATCAGCTGTTATTTTGTTCTTTGTTCTCTATTAAAAGACTTATTTTTGTAATCTGCCGAGTTGAGTCCTGTCTGCACTACTGGGTTCGTTCCTGTCCACAAAATCCTGACAAAAGTGTTTTTTTTTATTTGATATAATGTTTTTGATATTTAGGATGCTGAATGAATAATATCACCAAGAGTTTATGAAACTCTTGGACTGCTTAGACGCACTGATCAGGTGGAGCAGCCTCAGCACCACTGGCATGTATTTGGTCTATTTCAGTGGGTCTGTGCTCAGCACACATACTATGGCGTAATAACACCGATGTTCTTCAGTAGAGAAGACAGCAACACACCAAACAAACAGTATCATGCAAAAGGGTAAAGTTTTAATATAAGCGAATGTACAGTGTAGGTTAGTCATTTTGGATAAATATTTGTTTTGACTTCTTCTTTCAGCTTTTCCCTCTTCGGGGGTCTCCACAGTGAGTTATCCTCCTCCATCTCACTCTGTCCTCATTCCATCTACCTCCATGTCCTCTCTAACTGCATCTGTAAATCTACTCTTTGGCTTTTTCCTGGCAGCTGCATTTCTAACATCTTACTACCAATATACCCAATATCCCTCCTCTGGACATGTCCAAATAACTGTCCGTCCTCTGGACAGGTCCAAATAACTGTCCCTCCTCTGGACAGGTCCAAATAACTGTCCCTCCTCTGGACATGTCCAAACCACCTCAGTCTGATCTCTTTACCTCCCAGTTGTTCAACATGTGCAGTACCTCTGATGATCTCATTACTAATCTTATCCAGCCTTGTCACTCCTAAGGAGAACCTCAACATCTTAATTTCTGTCACTTCCAGTTCTTTCTCCTGTCTTTTTGTCAATGCCAGTCTCCAGACCATACAACAAAGCTGGTCTCACCACTGTCCTTTGACTGCTGCCGCCACTCTTTTGTCACAAATCACTTCTGAAACTTCCCCCATTCACTCCATCTTGCCTGGACTTTGCCTGATTGTGGATTTCAGAAGGAGCAAACACACCTACACTCCTCCCCCTGAACATAGGAGGATCTGCGGTGGAAGTGGTCTCCAGTTACAAATACTTGGATGTGCACCTGAATGACAACCTCAGCTGAGGCAACAACACCACCAGCCTGATGAAGAAAGCTCATCAGAGACTCTACTTCCTCAGGCGGCTGAGACGAGCTGGTCTGGAAGCTCAGTCCTCACCTCCTTCTACAGGTGTGCAGTGGAGAGCATCCTGTGTTCCAGCATCAACGTGTGGCATGGAGGCTGCACAGCTGCAGAAAGAAAAGCTTTGCAGAGAGTGGTGAAGGCTGCACAGAAGATGTTGGAGTCAGACTCCCCACCATCACAGACATCTACACCTCCAGATGCAGGAAGAGGGCCACCTGCATCATGAAGGACACCACTCACCCAGCACACACACTTTTTGCCCCGCTCCCCTCAGGAAGGAGGTTGAGGAGCATTAAGAGTAGAACCACTAGACTGAGGAACAGCTTCTACCCTGAGGATGTTAGACTCATGAATCTCTAACCAGGATAATCACTGTAAGGGGGAAAAAATTAATCACTGTAATGCCACTTTAATTGGAAATATGTGACATATCTGAGCTGCTGATTATCCATGCTGCTGATTTCTTGCCTTTAAGCTGCTGTATTAATACCCATCTGCTCACCACAGACTCCTTTTCGGGCTACTGTTTAATATACCCTACTGTTTTACATTATTAGTGTTTAGCGTATATCTTAGATCCATGTATACTGTTTCTTTTTATACTTTATATTTTTGCTATTTCTGGGTGTAACTGGGACCTTGGGTACACAATTTCGTTTCACCTCATGTACCACATGTGATGTGAATGACAATAAAGAACCTGGACTATCTTTTTCGCCTCTTTACCACATTTCCCATTTTCCTGGACAGTGAATCCCAAGTACTTGAAGTCCTGCACCTTTGTGACCTCTGCTCCTTGTAGCCTCACAGTTTCACCGGCCTCCCTCTCATTTACACACATGAACTCTGTCTTACTACGGCTGACTTTCATTTCTCTTCTTTCAAGTGCATACATCCACCTCTCCAAGTTCTCTTCCACCTGTTCCCTGTTCTCACCACAGATCACAATGTCATCTGCAAACATCACAGTCCACAGGGATTCCTGCCTGACCTCATCTGTCAGTCTGTCCATCACCAGCTCAAACAAGAAGGGGCTCAGAGATGATCCTTGATGCACTCCCACCTCCACCATGAAGCTATCCGTCACTCAGCACATCTCACCACTGTCCTGCTGTCCTCATACATGTCCTGCACCAGTCCAACATGTCCTGCTGTCCTCATATATGTCCTGCACCAGTCCAACATGTCCTGCTGTCCTCATACATGTCCTGTACCAGTCTAACATACTTTTCTGCCACTCCAGATTTCCTCATGCAATACCACACCTCCTCCCTCGGCACTCTGTCAGATGCTTTTTCTAAATCCACAAAGACACAATGGAGTTCTTTCTGACCCTCTCTGTACTTCTCCATCAGCATTCTCAAAGCAAATATGGCATCTGTGGTGCTCTTTCTTGGCATGAAACCATACTGCTGCTCACTATTTGTGAGCAGTATGGTTCAAATATGCCATTGAATATTTGAAACCTCACTGCCATCTCAGCTAACATCATCTTCATTCTTTTCAGAGTTTTCCAGACTTCACCCTCACTAATCTTTCCCACTTCCCGGTCCACAGTTTCTATGACCTCTACTCTTCTTTCTTTTTCATGCTATTCATTCATTAGCTCCTCAAAGTACTCCTTCCATCTTCCCATCTCACTCTCCTCCCTTGTTAGAACATTATCATTTCTAGCTTTCACAAGCCTAACCTGCTGCACATCCTTTCCAGCCTTATCCCCCCATCTTGCCAATCAGTTTAAGTCCTTCTCACCCTCTTCAGTGTCAAGCATCCCATATAACTCATCTTTTGCCCCCTTTTCCATTCTTTGTTCTCTGTGACTGAAATCAGGACAGATAAGACTATTTCACAAAACATAGCTTCAAAAATGACCAAACTACCCTTTGAACTTTATTTTTCTAATCTGAGGTTACTGAAAAAGCTATCTACTGCTGGTAAGATATTGATTTTTTATAACCTTTCCATAAACCTCACTTTAAAAAAATGTGAATTGCTGGTTTAAGCTTTCCACAACAGCAGGCTGTCTGTGAAATAGTTATCAAACGTTGGAGAACAAGTTTTCCTTTTTACTTGTTATTCATCAGTGTTAAATGGATTTGTTTCTCTCAGCAAACACACTTTTACCTTCCATAAAGGCCCTTCAAACTTCTTGACATGACGGGTCAAACCCTGCAGGGGCCAAAGATGAGAAACATCAGTAGTGCACAAAACAAATCAAAGAACAAATCAACTCTAACTTTGGGAAGCTAAGCATCTGCTGAGCACTCACCCGGTGATTGTTGCCTTCAAGGCACAGCTTCATCGCTGTATCAGTGACCAGGTCAAACACAGTCTGGCCTGTGAGTTACAGACACACAACACAAGTGGAGTTTTATCACAACGAGACACGTGCACCGAGGAAGGAATCGAGTTTACATGTTGATAACAGCAGTTAGATTTATTCGAGAAGCTACTGCAGCATACGCTTCTGATGGGATCACAGTCTTTTTCGTAACGTTTATCACATTTGAGTGACAGAAACAGACTGTGTGTTTGGAAAACATAAGTAGGGTTTAAACTAGTAAAAACGCTGTCTGCATGAAAAAGCAGTTTTTTTCATCTGGATGCCGATGCAGCACAGACGGTCACCAAACACCTGAAGAAGAATGCTAGGTTACTGGAAAGATGTGGAGCTTTTAAAAGGGAATATTACTGGAGGGCATTTTGGTTTTCTTATTAAAATAAATACAATTTAATTTTAAAGGTTTAGTTTTACTGCACCCAGCAGCACCCCTATTTAATTAGCTTAAAAAGAAACAAAACACATGAAACATCAACCTTCAATTATAGCTGCGAGCTGCAGCTGATGCGTCTCACCGTTTTTGTTCTTGGCGTTCGGGTTGGCTCCACACTTGAGCAGCTTTAGGGCCGACAGTCTTTGTCCTCGATAGGCGGCACAGTGCAGCGGCGTGTTACCCAACAGATCTGTGCAGTTGATATCAGGAGGCTTCTTCTTGCTGAGCTACAGCAAGCACACACAACAGAAACAGGTTAGAGATCTGAGTGGTTGCTTTATTGTTCTGCAGTGACATGAAGCTCGTCTCTGAAAGAAGCTGGATTATGGAGTTCTGCTGCCTGGTTGTTTCACACATACAATACAATGTGATACCATGCAACACGCTTTACAGTCTCCTTAAGGAAATTTGCTTTGGATCAATGGTGCCTTCACAGAAGACATATAAATAAACTATTAAAGCAATCTTGCTCCATAAATAAACGACCCAAAAGCAGGATACACTGAACAATTTATATCCTAAAAATATACATAAATGTATATAAAATGTGTATCTTTCAAGTCCTGCCCTGTCCACAAACAAAACAAAAACAAAAAACAACAACCATACTTTGCCACTGATAAAATAATTAAAAAAAATCTCAAATATATATTTTTAGATGCTGACATGTTAATTCACAGGTACCTTGCTGTATGTTTGAAAAAGCATTTTTTCTGAAACACATTTACCTGAAATTATTTATTCTATGCTTAAAAAGCTCTTGCAAAAGCACAACTATCATTTGTACTTACTGCAAACATGCATTTATCTCTACATTGTTTTGTTTTAACAAACAATGAACTTTTAATTATGTTTCAAAGGGCGATGTCAACATACAAACATAAGAATAGTTCAAAGTTTATATGCAACTTCAGAAAGATCAAAGCTAACACGCTCTCGTACAGTTTGATCAAAAATGCTTTTATAAATGTTATTCATTTGGTTTGGAATAATATTTAATTGAACTGAATACAATTCAGTTTAACCTTTATTTATACAGGTTAGTCTCATTGAGCCTCAAGGATTCATAGAGACCTGTTTCAAACAAAGAACACAGATGTCAACAGTGGATAATCATACAAAAGCACATAAAATGAAAAGTAAATGGAATGAATTATATTTAAAAAAGAAACAAAAGCAGTTACATTATAAACCAATGTAAAATATTAAAAACAGGAACACGTCTGCATTGGTTTTTGCCATGAACTTAGATGTTTAAAGTCCCTTAGAGAGGTCAAGGTCGAGAGCCTGAGATCTTCTTGCAAGATCTTCCAGGAAACAGGAGCGGAGTAAGAGAAGGTCCTTTTGTCTAGTTCAGTCCTCACTGAGGGAACACTGCAGGTAATAATGGCCTGAAAGCGCACGCTGTAGCTGCACTCACCCAATTAGTCTGGGCTTGGTGCGAGGCAGTTTAGTGTTCCTGATGACACCAACAACACAGTGGTCACACATATCATCAGCAGAAACACCCAACCCAGGAAATTTACGAGGCATATTTGTTAAAAAGAGATCCAAAATAGACGATCTTCCAGGACTTTTTTTGTTTAGGCGGATGGGGTTATCAATGATTTGAGTGAGATTGAATGACAACCAGAAAAAAATAAAGAAAAATAAAGAAAAATAAAACAGTTTTATATAAAAGTACACAAGTACTCCATATGTAAAACTAGGTAAATTTACTTTAAAATATTTAAAGGTGAAGTACCCAGTGTAGACAGAAATGATCACAGTGAAACATATCCTTTAAATATGGAAAATGTGAATAAAAATATATATATTTCTTTAATCATAAAATTGCTCATAATTTATCAGAGACAAAACACACTTTAAAGTAGGACCCAACAGACTTATAGAAGTGATTAAAAAAAATAGAACTTGGTCAAAGCTCATATGGTATTTTTAAGTTAATATTGCATATGAATGATTGGTAAACAACAAGATTCTAGTTTATAAGCATAACATGTTTAGCTGTTGCCTCTCAGCGAAAAGGTCATTGGTTCAAATCCCAGCCTGCGACCTTTATGGGTGGAGTTTGCATGTTCTCTCTGTGCATGCGTGGATCTTCTCCAGGTACTCTGGTTTCCTCCCACAGACCAAAAACATGCATGCCTGTCCCTGTGATGGACTGGAGACCTGTCCAGGTGTCCCTGTGATGAACTAGAGACCTCCCTAGGGTGTCCCTGTGATGGACTAGATATTTCCCCAGGGTGTCCCTGTGATGGACTAGAGACCTGTCGAGGTGTCCCTATGATGGACTTGAGACCTGTCCAGGGTGTACCTGTGACGGACTAGAGATCTGTCCAGGGTGTCCCTGTGATGGACTGGAGACCTGTCCAGGTGTCCCTATGATGGACTTGAGACCTGTCCAGGGTATCCCTGTGATGGACTAGAGACCTGTCTAGGGTGTTCCTGTGAATAATTAGAGACCTGTCCAGGGTGTTCCTGTGATGGACTAGAGACCTGTCCAGGGTGTTCCTGTGATTAACTAGAGACCTGTCCAGGGTGTTCCTGTGATGGACTTGAGACCTGTCTAGGGTGTTCCTGTGATTAACTAGAGACCTGTCCAGGGTGTTCCTGTGATGGACTAGAGACCTGTCCAGGGTGTTCCTGTGATGGACTAGATACCTGTCCATGGTGTTCCTGTGATGGACTGGAGACCTGTCCAGGATA